CCACAACAAGATTAAGTTGTTCATATAACAATTCATATAACTTTCTGCACTTTTTGCTGTTTAAAAAAAGAAAGGTTGACCTCTGATGGGTTGTCTCAAAAACTGTTTTGTTTAATTTGGTTGTTCTAACAACAAAACAAAAACAAAAAAATTATACTGCATTTTTCCTTACAATTAGCTGAAACTTTGTTGCAAAGCAGTTAAAATCTGCTATTCAGAGCAAAACAGTTATACAATTTCTAGCAACATAGGTTTTAAGACAGTAGCCCTTTTAGCCTACCCTCGATTTAAGTCCTTCATGAGCCACAAAAAGTCACGTGTTTTGAAAGGAAAAAACAAGAGATGAGTGGTATTGTCCAGTCTAGTAGAACTCTCTGGATACATGACATGATGAGTTGTTTTGGTTCCAACATCTGTTTCATAGCCTTTGGTACGCCCCCGATTGATTCTAAATAATACAGAAGGATACATATTTAGCACACATTTTTGCATTTTAGATACATAAATATACATAGACTTGTATTATATTGTGGCGAGCTCAGACAAGGAGGAGACGGAGGTATCGTTTGGCTAGCCAGGGAGCACAGCCGTTTATTCACATTTTCAGAAGAACACTGCCGCTAGCTAACTGCTCAGCGCGGCAACAACAACAACACAGGGCGCCCTCTGACCCCTGAAGGACACACCGTCGCAGCGAGAGGGCGTCACCTGTCACTATGGCAACATAAACAAAACATAACTGTACAAACAGAACCCCGAACAGCCCTGACCTGCTACATAGCCCCCACCTAAGGGGTCAGTCGTCCCCGACGACCCCATCACCCCACACAATTTCCTGCAAATGTCCAGGTGCCTTCTTTTGGCCATGGGGTGCCACCATCATCTCCTGCTGGAGTGAGCCGTCGGTACGGTGAGAGCCTGTCCCGGTGCAACACCACCATGCGCCCCGGGCCCGGCATGCGGATACGGTACACCACGTCTGTTAGCCGCTCCACAACCTCCTGCCGGCCCTTGCCAGTGACTGCAGAGTTTGGGGGACACTCCTCTCTTGCGAACCGGGCAGTACACCCAAACCTTGTCGCCAGGCATGAAAACCCCCCCTCGGCACTTGGTGTCGTAGGCTCTTTCTG